GAAAAAAACCTTTGGGCTAATCCTGTTATCTTAAGGTGTATATTATGGGAGTAGGTCTAGCAAGGTCTTTACAACCTCCAGACATTCTTTTGATTCACTGTATTAACTAATTACCTTGGACATGTTGCAAGAGAGCATCACAGGGCAGGCCCACTGAAACCATAATCGCAGGAAACTAGCCAATCTGACCACACGGACCACAGTCTTGTCTAAATCAATGAAACTAAGCCTTGCTGTGTGGGGCCAACCAAGACAGAAGGGTCATGGTGGAGAGGTCTGACAGAATGTGGTCCACTGGAGAAGGGAATGGCAAAACACTTCAATATTCTTGCCTCGAGAACCCCATGAACAGTATGAAAAGGCAAAATGATAGGATACTGAAAGAGGAACTCCCCAGGTCAGTAGGTGCCCAATATGCTACTGGAGATCACTGGAGAAATAACTCCAGAAAGAATGAAGGGATAGAGCCAAAGCAAAAACAATACCCAGTTGTGGATGTGACTGGTGATAGAAGCAAGGTCCAATACTGTAAAGAGCAATATTGCATAGAAACCTGGAATGTTAGGTCTATGAATTAAGGCAAATTGGAAGTGGTCAAACAGGAGATGGCACGGGTGAATGTCGACATTCTAGGAATCAGTGAACTAAAATGGACTGGAAAGGGTGAATTTAACTCAGATAACCATTATATCTATTACTGTGGGCAGGAACCCCTTAGAAGAAATGGTGTAGCCATCATGGTCAATAGAAGAGTCCGAAAGGCAGTACTTGGATGCAATCTCAAAAATGACAGGATGATCTCTGTTCATTTCCAAGGCAAACCATTTAATATCACGGTAATCCAAGCCTATGCCCCAGCTAGTAGTGCTGAAGAAGCTGAAGTTGAACGGTTCTATGAAGATCGACAAGACCTTTTAGAACTAACACACAAAAAAGATGTCCTTTTCTCTATGGGGACTGAAATGCAAAAGTAGGAAGTCAAGAAACACCTGGAGTAACAGGCAAATTTGGCCTTGGAGTACGGAAAGAAGCAGGGCAAAGGCTAATAGAGGTTTGCCAAGAGAACGCACTGGCCATAGCAAACACCCTCTTCCAACAACACAAGAGAAGGTTACCTCCTTAGTGCTGACCATAAAATACCAAGCTAGTTGATTAAGATTACATTTCTGTGAAAGATGAAAACTGAAATAAAGTCTTGATTTGCTGCCATGGTGTATGTGTGTGACAAATGAGTCCACTTTAGGCCTTAAAAAAAAAAAAAGTACTACTTTCATAGTGTTGCAGAAACCAGGAATCACGAAACCAAGCAGCACACTGAGAGAGTTGGAGAGCACAGTTTTATTACAACGGTGGGTTCAGACGAGTTAGCACTGCCAGCTCTGAGCCCCGAACAAAGGGGTTACAGAGATTTTATAGACAGACTACAGGGGGCAACACTAGCTGCTAATAGGCTGGTTAAAATAAGGGGTTTCGCACAGGCAGGAACAGCTGTCAAGATGGGGAGGGGGATGCTGTACCTTTATGTGGACAGGCATGATTAAGCAGGTTTGCAGGGGCTGGGCAATTGCAAAGAGCAGGACAAGATGAGTGAGATAACCTCCACTTCCTAGTATTGTAAGTCCCCACTTTCTGAGACTACATGACCTACGTAATCCAGACTTTGCAAGGAGGAAGCTGAGTTATCCAGGCAGAACGAGCAGGGAGTTATATAAAATTTTAACTTTTCCTTTTCAGTAGTTCAGTGGTTTGAGAATTAAACCAGTTGTTGACTCACTCAGTTGTGTCTGACTCTTTGTGACCTCATGGACTACGGAATGCCAGGGCTGCCTATCCCTCACCATCTACTGGAGTTTGCCCAAGTTCATGTTCATTGCATCAGTGATGCCCTCCAGCCATCTCATCCTCTGACACCCTCTTCTCCTTCTGCTCTCAATCTTTCCCAGAATCAGGGACTTTTCCAGTGAGTCATCTGTTTGCATCAGATGACCAAAATACTAGCGCTTCAGCTTCAGCATCAGTCCTTCTAGTGAATATTCAGGATTGATCTCCCTTAAGATTGACTGGTTTGATCTCCTTGCTGTCCAAGGGACTCTTAAGAGTCTTCTCCAGCACTACAATTCAAAAGCATCAATTCTTTGGTGCTCAGCCTTCTTCATAGTCCNTGCATATTTTGAGGTGTAGGGCAATCATTTTAGCTTATCCATGGTTTGGCCTTGTATGTAGCACTGCTTTTATTGAAAAGCCCACTGGGGATTGGGTAATTTAGGTGGCAGGCAGGAGTCACTGTTATGGCTTGAATTCTTTGCTTTGAGGTAGCATACTCACTCAGGAGCTGGAGTCATTCTGAGCCAAAAGCAGCCAAAATGTCAGTGCCCATTGCACTTGCCTATGGAAACCACAGTGACTGGCACCTAAAATGTCCCAAAGCATCACACCCACAACCTCATCAGGCACATAGGCCACACAAGCACATAAGCACTATGGGTACCAGGTTCATCCCCAAAGCCCAGTGTCACCAGTTTAATCTTTAGACCTACGGAGGCCTAGAAAAACTACCATATGGGATGCAGCGTCCAGGATTCCCAGAAAAGTCTTAATTCCTCTGTTTCCCCCTTTTATCTTGGAGAATAGGGCCACTGTCTCTGGTGAAGACACGGAGACCTTGGTCCAATCCCTAAGTATGTTATTTGGCTGGAGACATTTGAATCTGCAATGTCCCCTTAAATAAGATGCAGCATCCAGTTAGCATGGGATTTTGTTAGCTTCTGTCCTTATCTGTTGTTCAGTCCTGTCCAAATTCGAATTCTCCTAGGCCAGAATACTGGAGTGGGAAGACTTTCCCTTCTCCAGGGGATCTTCCCAACTCAGGTATCCAACCCAGGTCTCCCGCATTTCAGGTGGATTCTTTACCAGCTGAGGCACAGGAAATGGCAACCCACTCCAATATTCTTGCCTGGAAAATTCCGTGGATTGCGGAGCCTGGTGGGCTACGGTCCACGGGGTCGCAAAAAGTCGGACACGACTGAGTGACTTTGCTTTGCTTTGTCCTTTTCTGTGCTTCAGTTTTTATAAATTTCTCCCTCAGGGAGGAGATTATCTCAGTTTCAGTAAAGCCATCAGTCATTTGGTACTGCATGAAAACGAGAGTTGTGAGTGACCTGGACTGGATAGAGCTTCCTGCACAGGACCCTTGTAATTCTTCCAGACACTGCAACCCCTGGGACATCATGGGAGTTGGCGAGTTGCACACAAGGGAGTTTGAGCTTGGTCAAAAGCCTGGGTAGGATATAGTCTCCCTCTCTTCTAGGAGTCTCCTCTCAGACTTCTGTCCGCACCCACTGCACCAGCTTCTCCCTGGTAACAGGAAGCTTATGTATATCCTGTTTGTCCCCATGTGGCCAGAGGGTAGGCAGCAGCTCAGTTTTTCACTCAGGGAACTGGTACTGCCAAGGGACAATAGGACTGAGAAGCCCTTGCATCTCCACCCTGCCATGTGGAAATGTCCCTGCTCAATCTGTTAACGGATTTGGGCTTTGGTTGGGTGTTTTAGGACAGAGCCTAAGGAAGCAGGGTTCACTCTAGGTTGGATGCTGTCAGAAAGCTTTGGGAGAGCAGACAAAACAAAGATAAAGTCTAAAGTCATAATTAGCAGTCACTCTTTTAGCCAAGAGGGTGATGCTTGGTATTATGTGGGTGGCACAGTGACCTTATTTTTGTCTGTCTAAACAAAATTATGCAGGGGCCTTATTCTGTCTTACTTTACCCATAGTCTCAGAGACACCTCATTTGAGGATGGTATTCTGTGATTGGTTTATATCCTAAAGGAGAATAAAATGGCTTAGTTCGAGTGCCATGCCAGCTTCCACATGTCAGGGGCTGTTTGGTTTTCATCTCTCAGATTCATTCAATGAATCATTATATAATCATCATTGAAAGGTTTTAGATTTTCAGTGGCTTTTATCAGAAAATGTCTAGCTTATAATGAATTTAGAGAAATAGAGGAAAAATACGAGATTTGAAAAAACAAGTACATATGGGGACTTCTCTGGTGGTCCAGTGATTAAGACTCTGTGTTTCCATTGGAGGGGGTGTGGGTTCAAACCCTGGACAAGGAACTATATAAGATCTTGCATACCATATAGTGTGGGCAAAACAAAAAAAACCAAGTCTGTGTGTTGATACATGTTAAGTATGTTTATAGGGAGAAAAAAATCTGGTTATCTTCAAGGGACAGAATCTAAGTATCATCCCCCTCCCCCATTTTGCTTTATACTGTTTTAATTAGCTTTGAGTAACATATGTTTTATTACTACCTATAATATTTAAACCAGAAATATTAATATTTAATATAATAAATGCAACATTTCATATTAATATAAACATCCTTCCTCACCAATAGAATCCTCCTCAATGCTCTGTCATTAAATCATACGCTTTTGGAGTCCCCGTAACTCCAGTGCCAACCTCTTCAGCAATTACCCTTGCATTGAGATAAACTCCTCAGTGCTCTGTCATTAAATCACACGCTTTTGGAGTCTCCGTAACTCCAGTGCCAACCTCTTCAGCAATTACCCTCGCATTGAGATAGCAGACAATTTCTTAACTTTCTGAAATTTGGTGCTTTCACATCCAAAGTAGGGATCATATCAACGTCAATGAAAAGTTTAGGTGAGGGAAGAGCACTTTTCCATGAGGACGAGTTTCCATTTTGGCCCTCTCAAGTTTGTTTTTCCTGCCAAAGCAGTGGTACCACAGGGTCTGGAGTTGGCACTGCTACCTCCTTCCTTCCCCATTGCCCCTCCTAAATCATTCCTCTTCGCCTATTCTTTTACCTCACACCTTTAGCCTCCTAACATCAGATTAGACTGAAATGAGCCTGCATTCAATCACCTTGTGTCCCCTAAGCAGTTAATATCTTGAAGATTGTATCTCCCTATTTGTTCCCTTTCCAACAACACTCCTGCCATAATTGGGAGACATTTTGATTTCAGAAAGTCGTGTCTATGGAATATTTTCACTGGGGAACTCAAGGAAAATTAACAGACCCCGTGCAGGGAACCTCATTACCACCCCGAGAGTCCGGACTGTGGGGTTCTTTCCGCTGTGGAGTTTTGCAAGGTGTAGTCAAGGAGCTCCCGTAGTTCCAACACTTCTTGCTGGAAAGTGAGACTCTGGTTAGTGTCCCTTGGCATTCCGGGAAGTGTAGTTCTGACACTGTTAGTTTCTTGCACTGCCGCTCAAGAAGGGGAAATCAGATGGATTCTGGGAAGTGTAGTCCAGACGCCCCGTGAACTCCTAGGACTTCCGTCCAGGGAGAGTGAGGTTGCTGGTGTCTCTTCCGTGGGGCGGGCTTGTTAGTTCCGCGTCTTGGTAGCCTTTCCAAATATTCTGGATCTATGCATGGGATACTCAATTACCTGGCAGTGGACTTAGGGGAAAAGAATCCTCGGCGGAGAGTGCAGGTGCGGAGGAGCAAAGGCAGCGGTGTGCGTTCCCCTTGGCGGAGCGGTTGGGGTATTCTGGAGACCCTGAGAGAGTACCAGCTCCCGTCGCATATCTCCTAGATTAAGAGTTTCCGTGGGCTTGGGCTAGCCCATTCCGCCTCTCAACCTTGCCCGCGCTCTTCTACTTCTTCGCATGGGGAGTTAATCTCCCTGTGCCTCCGGTTGTGTGTGTATGTGTGTCTGTGTGTCCTTAGTCTACTTACTCGCGTGTGGAGTTAATCTCCCTGTGCCTCCCATTGTGTGTGTGTTTGTGTGTGTTGGGTGTGTGTGTGTGTGTGTGTGTGTGTGTGTGTGCATTTAATCTACTTACTCGCATGGGGAGTTAATCTCCCTGTGCCTCCCATTTTGTGTGTGTGTGTGTGTGTGTGTGTGTGTGTGCGCGCGCGGTTAGTCGCTCGGTCGTGTCCGACTCTGCCACCCCAAGAACTGTAGCCCGCCAGGCTCCTCTGTCCATGGGATTCTCCAGGCAAGAATACTGTTACCATACCCTCCTCCAGAGGCTCTTCCTCACTAGGGATTGGACCGAGATCTCCCGCTTTGCAGGAGGATTCTTTATCGCCTGAGCCACCCATTACTTTTCTTTAAAAAGTAATAGAGTTCTTTTGGGAAGAGGTGATACAAATAAAAGTCTTAGCCAGTTCCTGGCAACTAGCGAATGCTGATTTCTCCTTGCTGTTAATTTCTCAAAGAGTGGTCAGGTACCCGGGTTAGCATCAGAGATCCACTTTCAGTGACCCTTACCCTTCTTTCTATGTCTGTGGGACACTGGGTCATCCTGCACCCACCCCTTCTGACTTGGAAGAGAAGGTTCCAGACTGCTTGGAGGGAAGGGAGCCTTTAACTTTTAACGAGGACGAGGGCTCGGTCCTGGCATTTCCTAGCATTGTTTCTTTCCCCAGCGTGACCTCAGAAAGAACTATAGGACGTAGGAGTGACTGCTGGGCTACTAACTGCAAAGCTCCACGTGAGTAAGACTTGATATTTTTCTCTTACAATAATGGTTATATCAATCAGAGAATGTATCCGATGTGTAATTGGACATGGGCATTGATAATAATTAACCCTTAATCGTTAACTTCAGTGAGTGAAAGTGTTAGATGCTCAGTCCTGTCCAACTCTTTGCGACCCCATGGACTGTAGCCTTTCAGCCTCCCGTCCGTGAACTTCTCCAGGCAAGAATACTGGAATGGGTAGCCTTTGTCTTCTCTCCAGGGGATCTTCCTGACCCAGGGATCTGATTCTGGTCTTCTGCATTACAGGCAGATTGTTTACCCTGTGAGACACCAGGGAGGCCCCAATGATGAGCTGCTGCTGCTAAGTCGTGTCAGTCGTGTCCAACTCTGTGCTACCCCATAAACGGCAGCCCACCAGGCTCCCCCATCCCTGGGATTCTCCAGGCAAGAACATTGGAGTGGGTTGCCATTTCCTTCTCTAATGAATGAAAGTGAAAAGTGAAAGTGAATTCGCTCAGTTGTGTCCAACTCTTTAAGACCCCATGGACTTCACCCTACCAGGCTCCTCCTTCCATGGGATTTTCTAGGCAAGAGTACTGGAGTGGGTTGCCATTGCCTTCTTCGCCAATGATGAGGGTTTTACACAAATAAATATATTGTGCCACAACATGACTCTGAAAAGAAATGTTGCTTTTTTCCCCCTTCTGTAAAATGAGATTGATACTCAGAGTGCTGTAAATTATGTGCCCATAGTCACCCACAAAGTCAGGGGCTCACTTGGGGTTGAAATTCAGGCAATCAGTCCAGAGTTTGAGTTCATACTCTTTTAGTCCTTAAGGCTTAGGAACCAGGTGGAATCAGGCATCATGGTTAGGAATTGATTGTGAAGGGCCTTAAATAAGATGGGTTTGGACTTTCCTGTGAGTTTTTAAAGTCATTGTCAACTAATTTTGTTTCCCTTGTTGTGAACAATATTTCTTTTTCTTACAGGCTTTTATTGTGGAGCATTCAAGAATTAGGAAATTTGAGAGAGGAAATTTCTTAATTACTCATTAATCCAGGGTGTAATGATAGCAAGTGTTAAGCTTCTAATACATTTTGCTTAGTGGCTCTTTTTGTATATTTGTCTATAAACATTTTGCAGATTCTTTTTTTTTAAATCACGCCTTTCTCAATGGTTTTCCCCTTATGTGTTTTAACTATGGGAATTTCCAAACACTGATAAGAAAGAATAAACTAATGAACTTCCATATAATTTCTTGATTAGTCTTACTATTTTCATTATTTCCATTCCTATGACTGTTTTCTGAGTTTTAAGGCTATTTTATCTTTATATAATGTTAAACCTATGGAAAAGTTGCAAAAATAGTATATGGAGCTCTTATATACCTGTTACCCAAATTGACCAATTGTTTTGCCTATCTGCTTTGTACCTCCATCAGCCAAATAACACCAGGAAGGTACCTATATTCAATAACAGCTTATTTTAACTTTCTTTGTGAAGGAAGCCCACATACCATGAAATCAGGAGGTGTCTAGGTAAGAGGGATTTCAGAAAGACTGATTGTAGAATTTTAGCATCACATACTTGGTAATGTTAGATATTATACTAAAGAATACTGTTTATCTAGTAGATACCTATTAAGTTAATCATAAATAAGTAATGCCAGATAGCATATTGGATAATGTACTATTAAATAATCCACAGTCTTGTATTTATTTTGTTATGTTTTTTAACTAAAAGTCTTCATAACTGGTTTCCCCCCAAGTTCAAAGTCCAATTTTATGCCTTATGTTATATTTTTTGTTTATAAACATTTTACAGAACTTNTCGGCTTTTTAATACGCTGTCTATGTTTTTGGGGTGTATATAGTCAAGTTATTTTGGAGAAAGTTCTTCATTTGAGGTTCGTCTGATGTTTTCCATTTTTAAGTTCAGATTATGCATTGTTGGCAGGGATTCCACAGAAGTGTGAGGTGTCCTTGTCACTGCAACATAGCTGGAGCCAAAGGATATCAGTATATCCCTGTATTAGTTAGTAAACTCAGCTTTGTTTCCTAGGCTCAGGTAATGTCTGTCAGATTTCTTCCTTGTAAAGTTATCTTTTTTTTAATTATTAAAGTTTTTTAATAGGGAGATACATTTACTAATTTACATCTACTGTAAAGAGAAGCTTCTCCTTCCCTACTTATTTATTTATTCATTTATATATAAATATTAGTATTGACTCAACCCATAAATTCTTATTGCAAATCTAAGTGACATGTAGATTAATAAACATTTATTTTTACCAGCCTGAAATATATGTATCATAGAATTCACCCATTTCAGGTGTACAGATTAATGATTTTTAGTAACTTTGCTGAGCAGCACAACTATCACCATAATAATTTGGAACAATTTCATTTCTGCAGTTGGATTCCTTAGTTAACCCCCATTCTCCCCCCAGAAAGCCAGGGTACCACTAACATACTTTCAGTCTCCATAGATTTGCCTATTCTAGACATTTCATATAAATAGAATCATACAGTATGTAGTCTTTTGTGTCTGTCTTCTTTTGCTTTCCATAGCATTTGCAGGGTTTACCCATGTTGTAGCATAATCAATACTGGATTCATTTTTATTGATGCATTATATTCCATTGTATGAGTATACCACCGTTTGTTCATTCACACATAGGCCAACATTCCAGCTGTTTCCAGTTGTAGGTTATTATGAGTAATGCTTCTATGAAGGTTCATGCACTCATTCACAAGAAGCATCTGTGTGGATGAGCAGTGACCCAAGCTACTCTTTCATGTCTTTTTCTGCCTTCTCAGACTCTCAGAACTCGCTCAGACAATTCTGACCTCCTAGAACCTGTATAACTCAGGACTGTGCCCATTCCTAGGCATAGGAGGAAACATGACCACATTCAAGGTGAGTAGTACCTGCCTTTCTCACGTTAAAGTTCATCTCATTGCTCAGATTGTTGCACGTTTGTTTTGGGATGACTCAGCAGAACAGGAGACATGGGAGACATTACGTTGTCCTTCTTGAGTTTTCTTTGTGTTTGTTTTTATTTTTTATTTTATGTGATTATTATATATTTTATGGACTAGAAAAATGACTAGAAATTAATAACTCTCCCATTTCATTACTTCCCTACTGGCAAACTAACTGTTTTTATTTTCTCTTTGTCTTTTCCTCATGTGCATTTATAACTGTATTTGTATTTAGGTGTACATCTAACTTTAAATTTTGGCTTTTTTTCCTTAATATTATATATTTTTTAAAATGGGTACTTCACATTTGACACTGTATTGATACACCTTTTTTTTTTTTTTTAATTTTTTGGCAGCTTTTTATTTTTGACTACATCCTACCTGTAGACATTTAGGTGGTTTACAAATTTGACTGTTTTGGTCAACCCTTCAGTGACAGCTTTCTTCCATGATACCTTTTCCCCTCAAATCAGTTGTGAAAACAATGTCAGTTTTTTGTCCTTGATGTACTATGCATTCAATATAGAAAGAACTATATTTGATCTGTGTTGTGTTGGCTGTTTCTTAGGTAGAATATCCAAATAATAGCATAGCACAGCTCTTCTTTCTTTCTCTCTCTCTCTCTCCCTTTTTTTTTTTTTCTGATACAGCACGCGGCTTGTGGAATTTTAGTTTGTTAAAATGATTTGGGGAGACTTCCTGGTGGTACAGTGGCTAAGATTCCAAACTCCCAATGCAGGGGGCCTGAGTTCAATCCCTGGTCAGGGAACTAGGTCCCACACACCCCAACTAAAAATTTGCATGCTGCAACTGAAACCTGGTTCAGCCAAACTAATAAATAAATATATTTTTAAAAAATATTGGTATAACACCAGACACATGTAATGTGCATCTTACAATCAGTGGCTGCTTGAAAAGGGAAAGTGCCAAGAAGGTGGAGAGGATGGGTAGGAAGTGAGTCCAGACTCTGAGGGACTTCAGTCAGCCTGTTGCCACTGAGGGAGGAGAATCACTGAGGAAGCCACTGAGGAGAATCAGTGTGTGGCATTGGCAGGATAGAAGAAGGGCTGGAAACTCTACAAATTGACTGAAGTCCTTCAGAATCTGAACTCATATCTCACCCATCCTTTCTTTTCCATAGCCTCACTTCCCGAGAGGCTGAGGAAAGTCAGTGTGTGGTGTTGGCAGGACAGAAGGAGGGGGGCTGGGAAGTCTACACATTTCCACAGGAGCCGGAATATCTTCCCATCATCCACCTCTCCTTCTTGGCATAGTCCCTCTTCCACTGGACACTGGTTGTAAGATTGAGCTGAGATTGTTTGTTGTAGGAGGCAGTGACCTTCACGGATGTGGCTGTGACCTTCACGGAGGAGGAGTTGGGGCTGCTGGACTTGGCCCAGAAGAAGCTGTACCAGGATGTGATGCTGGAGAACTTCCGGAATCTGGTCTCAGTGGGTGAGGACAGGCGCCCTGTCTTTTTTAAAAAATATGTACTTGGCTGCTCCGAGTCTTAGTTGCAGTATGTGGATCTAGTTCCCTGACCATGATTTAAACCCAGGCCCCCTGCATTGGGAGTGCAGAGTCTTAGTCACTTAGTCACTGGACCACCAGAGAGCTCCCAGGCACCTTTTCTAACAAGGTCATCTCCCTGGTTTGGCTTTGTGTCCTCAGATGTGGAAGGCGTTTGGGGTCTTGAAATGGCATGTGGGGACCTGACTTTCATGCCATAGCTTTTTAACAAAATAAAATAAGGGAGAAAAATATCAGAATTTGTCAGGAAGAATGGAATACATTGCAGGAAAAACTCTGGCCATTTATGTGAGTCATATAAGAACCAGTGAGGGGGAGATTTAATGAAAATAGGCACGGGTGAGAAATTGGTTTCTATAGTACTTACTGTATTTATGTGTCCAGGTCTTGAAATATTGGTATTTTGGGGGTTTTTTGTTTTCCTTTTTACTTTTTGACTGCACCTTGGGCCATGAGGGATCTTAGTTCCCTGATCACAGATCAAACCCGTGCCTACTGCATAGCAACTCTGAGTCTTAACTGCTAGACCAGAGAAGTTGCAGTATTTTTTCAAATAGGTCATATTTTCTTAAAAATGTTTTCATTATGCTTGTTTTGACTCATTGACCAACATTAGATACAGGAATTTTAATTTCCAGTAAATTGTACTGTTAGTGTATTCATTTTCTTTTCTTTTTTCCTGACTTTAAATTTATTTGCTTTTAATTGAAGGATAATTGCTTTACAGTATTGTGTTGGTTTCTACCAAACGTCAACATCAATCAGCCACAGAGTATGTTCATTTTAAATATGTTACTCTGCATGTTCACAGGGTGTTACCGCTTCAGATATCACATATTCCACTTAGAAGAGGAAAAAAGGCTTTGGGTGGTGAAGACAGCAACTCAAAGAGAAGGGAAGTCAGGTAAGAACCAGGCAGATGGGGGTCCTTAGAGAAGCCCTCCCATGTGTTTTTACTTCTCTCCAACCCTTTGGCTGTCATCTCATCCAAACTGCCAGACCTCTTCTTTGACACACCTTTGTACTGGTTGCCCTGCCCCTCCTATAGTCTGTTCTCCAGGTAGCAGCCAAGAGTGAGGCTTAGGAAAGACTGCCATTAGGAAATCACTTTGGAAAGTGATGCCATTCCTCTCTTCCAAACCTTTTATATCTTCCTATTTTTCTTAAAGTGGCTTCTGGAGTCCTCCAGGATCTGCTCATGGTCCCCCACTGTCCCTCTGATTCCTTTCCTCTCGCTCCTTGTCTCCCACCCATGCTGTACACCACACATGGCTCAGCCTCGACAGGGATGCTGTATAACCCGCGGCTGCCTGAGCAAATCACTGCAAATACCATAGCTTAACACGACACACGTTGAACGTCTTACACTTCCAGAGGTCAGAGGTGTGGCGTGGTTTCACTCTGGAGATTCTGGGGGAGAATTTATGTCTTTGCCTTTCCAGTGGCTCATGGCCACCTTCCTCAAGCTTCACAGCTAGCGACAACGCTTGTCTCTGCCCCGTCCTCCCTTGTCACGTGTCCCTCTTCTGCTTTTTTCCTGCATCATGCTTCTGCTTCATAGGAGACTTTAGATTGCATTGAGCCTCCCACTCCACCCCAAAGGAGAGGGTGCACTTACATGTTAAGGTCAGCTAATCCGCAGCCTAAATCCTTTCTGCAATCTTAATTCCCCTTTGCCACATAGTCTGACATAGTCTAGGCTCCAAAAATCAAGATGTGAGTTCTTTGGGGGCCAGTTACTGTGATCACAGCAGATTCTTCCCCTCTGAGCCCTTAACTCTGCCGGACCTACTCTTCTACCACTAGTCTTCCAGCTCCCTCCCTTTCTGCCTTCAGGTCTCTGCTCAGTTCCAACATCATGAGAGAGGCCTTCTCTGACCACCCTGTGTAAAATTCTCCCCTTTCTCTCCTCATTCTGCATCTTATTGGATCTCACAGACTTTGCTTGTTTATCACCCCTCTCTCAGCCCTGGAGTGTGATCACCAGGAGTGTGGAGTTTTGTCTGTCCTGTTGAGTACCAGGAGCAGCCCAGTATGTGGCAGGCATCTGTAAATATTTGTTGACTCTGTAAGTTTGATGGATGGGATGGGAGACCTCTGTTTCTCTCAGTGTGAATGGGATTTTATAGGTCATGTAAAAACCAGAGTCAAGGAAGGAGGTTGCAGAGCATTTTTTGTCTTTTGATGATTGCCTATCTGATTACTTTCTTTTTTTCTTCCTTTTAGTTTTTAAAATTTAGTCAGTTTTCTGAATTCCTTTCTATTTTAGTTTCTTTCCTTTTTTTCCTTAATATAAATCGAAGAATAGTTGATTTATAATGTTGTGCTAATTTCTGCAGTACAGCAAAGTAATTCAAGAAGTTAAACTCAGTTTTTGAGGGCCTTTAAAAAAAAAAAAAGCATGAACCATGGTAAGAAATGCATGCTTTGTGATAACCAAAACCTGCATTTCAGGTGTTGGAGATTTATATATATAACTTTCACAGGTATTTCATGTGATGACCCCTTTCCTGTTGATGATTATGCTGGTTCTTCTTTCTTTTTAAATATGTAGTTTTATTTACTTTATTTTATTTGGCTGCACTGGATTTTCTAGAATGTCATATAGTTGGAATTATACAGTATATATGCTTGTCTGATTCACTTCCATTTAGAAACTTAGAAATAAGTGTTTACATTTCCTCCACATCTTTTCCTGGCTTGGTAGTACATTTCTTGTTAGCACTGAATAGTATTCCATTGTGTGGAAATACCATACTTTCTATTTATACATTCACCTGCTGAAGGGCATCTTAGTTTCTTCCAAGTTTTGTTTAGTTGGAAAAAAGTTTTTGCTTTCTCTTAAAGTTCTAGTTGATTCATATTTTATTATCTCTATAACTTTTTTGTCTGCATCATTTACTAACTATAAAGTTTACTATCTGAGATTCTATACTGCCTTTGAATCCAATAGAAAGTGTCTATAGGTGAACAGTTTGCATCTAATTATCCAGTTTTCAAGTTAAATTTTTGATGCTTAACTTGCACCTCATGTAGGAAACTCACACCAACGGGTTTTGTTAGGTTTAGTGGTAGTGGGTAGGAGCGACCTTGACCACTACTTAGTTTCCATTGGCATGCAAACCAGAGCACATGACACACAATGGAAGAGACAAACGGAACATTCTCTGGATTCATTCAAGTCTCATACTCTCTCCTAAATGTGAAATCTTGAAAACAGCAAACAGAACCTTCAGTTGTCCACATCTCTGAATTTTGTGTCATTGCAGAAGAAAAGATCCAAAGTGAGATGGAGACTATTTCAGAAGTAGGACCACATGAAGAGCTTTCCTGCTGGCAGATCTGGCAATACATTGCAAGTGACTTAACCAGGTGTCAAGACTCCATGATAGAACATTTTGAATTCCACCAACATGACTCCCCTGGCCAGAATAGGGCCAGACTATCTGTAATTCACACTGGCCAGACACCTCCTCAGTGTAATGAATGTACAAAATCTTTTGGTGATCTCTCCAACTTTGATCTTCATCAACAAATACACTCAGGAGAGAAGTCTCATACATGTTGTGAGTGTGGAAAAAGCTTCTGTTACAGCTCAGCACTTCACATTCATCAGAGAGTTCACTCGGGAGAGAAACGCTATAAGTGTGATGAGTGTGGCAAGGAATTCAGCCAGAGTTCACAGCTGCAAATTCATCAGAAAGTCCACACTGTAGAGAAGCCATTCAGATGTGAGCAATGTGGGAAAGGCTTCAGTCGTAGATCAACACTTACTGTTCATTGTAAATTACACACGGGAGAGAAACCTCACAATTGTGACAAATGTGGACGGGCCTTCATTCATGCTTCACATCTTCAGGAACATCAGAGAATCCACATTGGGGAGAAACCATTCAAATGTGATATATGTGGTAGAACTTCCACCGGAGATCAGCACTTAACAGTCATTGTATGGTTCACACTGGAGAGAAACCATAAAATGTGAGGAGTGTGGGAAGTGTTTCATTTGTGGCTCAAATCTGCATATCCACCAGAGGGTCCACACAGGAGAGAAACCTTATAAATGTGAGGAGTGTGGGAAATGCTTCATTCAACCTTCACAATTTCAGGCCCATCGGAGAATTCACACGGGAGAGAAACCATATGTATGTAAAGTGTGTGGTAAGGGCTTCATTTACAGTTCAAGTTTTCAAGCCCATCAGGGAGTCCACACAGGAGAGAAACCATACAGATGCGATGAGTGTGGGAAGAACTTCAGGATGAAAATCCATTATCAAGTTCATCTAGTCGTCCACACAGGAGAAAAACCCTATAAATGTAAGGTATGTGGGAAAGGCTTTCGTCAGAGTTCATATCTTAAAATCCATCAGAAGGCCCACAGTGTAGAGAAACCCTACAAGTGCAAGGAGTGTGGGCAGGGCTTCAATCAGAATTCACGACTTCAGATCCACCAGCTGATCCATACTGGTGAGAAACCATACAAATGTGAAGAGTGTGGGAAGGGATTTAGTCGTAGAGCCGATCTTAAAATTCACTGCAGAATCCACACTGGAGAGAAACCGTACAATTGTGAGGAGTGTGGAAAAGTCTTTAGTCAAGCATCTCATCTTCTGACCCACCAGAGAGTCCACAGTGGAGAAAAGCCATTCAAATGTGAGGAATGTAGCAAGAGCTTCAGTCGGAGTTCACACCTTCAAGCCCACCAAAAAGTCCACATTGGAGAAAAGCCATACAAATGTGAGGAGTGTGGGAAGGGCTTTAAGTGGAGCCTGAACCTCGACATGCATCAGAGGGTCCACACGGGAGAGAAACCATATAAGTGTGGGGAGTGTGGGAAGCACTTCAGTCAGGCCTTAAGTCTTCAGCTTCATCAGAGTGTCCACACTGGAGAGAAGCCCTACAGATGTGATGTGTGTAGTAAAGTCTTCAGTCGGTCTTCACAGCTTCAGTATCACAGGCGAGTTCACACAGGGGAGAAACCTTACAGGTGTGACGTGTGTGGTAAGAGCTTCAGTTGGCGCTCCAATCTTGTAAGTCATCACAAAATTCATACTGGAGATATATGAAAGTGATGAGAGTGGTAAGAACATCAAGGAACTGTCAGAGGAAAGAAGTTCCACAAAATGATTGTTTCAAAAAACTCATGTGCAACCCTGAGTTCTTGCAAGTGTCAAGTCTCATAGGAGGGAAGGCATTGGGTGTCGAACCAGTAGCTGGGCATATCCCAGTGTTCACCAGACCACACAGCAGAAACCTCCTTTGAGTGGTACAGTAAGGGTTGCATTCAGAACTTTGACATTTGTTAGATACCACTTAGGGCGATAGCACTTAAAGAGGAAGAGTTTGGTCTTGCCTTTAGTGAAAGTGTAAGGATGGGCTTGTCAAAACTGATGTCCAAGAGAATGTGAGCTCCATGAGGGCAGGGACTTGGATGTTGAATCTACACAACCTTAACATCAACTCTTGCTTGTAGGTGTGCTCAGTTCATGTATGTTAAATAAACCAAAAGGGGGAAATGTACACTATTTGAAAATTGTTTCAGAGGAGGAAAGCTACCAAGTAAAATTAATTCAGGAAGTGATCATTCGTTGAAGTACAGAAAACCACTTGATATTATAATCTGCAGTATTAATATGATATGAGCCTATTGCAACTGGCTCCTTGCCTCCCACAGCCTCTGTTCTCAAGTAGGGTTATTGTCTGAGGCCCTGTCTAGTTTTCCAAGGATTGAGTCTAATATAAAATTGAACTGTCTTTTGATTTTTTTTCTGACAGTACAAACTGAAAATGTTACTAACTTTGCAACAATAGGTAACTGTACAATTGATTTTTTGTGAGTCACTCAATGTTAAGGCAGGATTTGCTGTAACATTTTGAAAATGTCACAAAAATTGTCACTAGAAAAAATTTTATTGGTCGACCTTGAAGTTACTGATTTCTAATTCCTTTCATTTTTATCCAGACTTTGAAATGTTTGCTTACTAAATACTGTAGCTTTTCTTCTGTCAAAACTTGTCAGTTAGGGGCTATGCCATATTCTTCACACACATCCATGAGGAAAATACCCAGGAAACTTGTAGGAATTTGACAAAATTATTAAATGTATTATTGAGGCAAGACTGACATTTATGTCCTTTGACCTATTGGTAGCAGTAAAGCATGGTTTTGGGAAAGGAGTAGTTATCAGTATATAGGTTATACATCTCTTTGATCTAAAAATCATATAATTGAATGCTTTTGATTATGAAGTTAAAATATGAGAAAGATAAGCACTGCATCAATGATGTCACTGAAGTTTTTTTAATGGAAATAAGTGTACAGCTATAGGAATTTGAGTTTTGCTATATTTGTATATTAATCTGAAGACATTAAAATTCTGGCAAATATAATGGCAAAAGATACACAGTATGGGCTTTGATAGGTCACAGATTGTAACCTTCAGAGTATAATTGAATCTTTGTGTGTGTGTGTGTGTGTGTGTGTGTGTGTGTGTGCATGCACACATACTTCTGTATGTAGACATGCATAAGATCATGTGTATAGGGATACTCTTCCATAGTGGTTTTCCGTAGTTAGGAGAATTTTGTGGTATTTTTTCATTTTATGACTTCATGTTACAGTTTTTTCTTTCAATAGTACCATCAAAGCAGGACATTACAATAGAGTTTGAAAAAATTACTACTAAATATCCCTTGTAGTTAACACCTCATAATATGATTGTTCTATATTGTCATAAGGCATATAAAGATCAAAATTATGATAGGATCCCAGAAGCCAATTTCAAAATTTAAAAAAAAATTGATTGTTTTGCATACACAGATAAATTTATGCTTCAACCATTGAATCTTTTTGCTGTACTTTAACCATAAATATAGAACATGGAGAGCAGAAATTCAGCAGCTGGAAACGAAGTGGATACAGATACAGTGTGCTCACCTGTTTCAGTGGTGTCTGACTCTTTGCGACCCTGGGGACTGTATCCTGACCGGCTCCTCTGTCCATGGAATTCTCCAGGCAAGAATTCTGGAGTGGGTTGCCATGCCCTCTTCCAGGGGATTTTCCCGACCCAGGTATCGAACCCGTGTCTCCTGCATCTGCTGCATTGCCGGTAGATTCTTTACGTATGTGGCTCAGCTGGTAAAGAATCCGCCTGCAATGTGGGAAACCTGGGTTGGGAGGATCCCCTGGAGAAGGGAAAGGCTACCCACTCCAGTATTCTGGCTTGGAGAATTCTATGGACCATATACTCCATGGAGTCGCAAAGAGTCGGAGACTATTGAGCGACTTTCACTTTTCCTGTTGAAAAGATGTGCATGAGGAGGGAACACAGAGTTACAACGGAGGACCCTCTCGATGTGGAACCAGTAAGGACATAGCATGTTTGGTCACATTTCAGGGATTGAGGTATTTTGAGTTTTGACTTAAGCCCGTTCCAAAGAAGGCCCAGTTTCCTTCTCTTTTATTTAAACAGTAAAATTCGGGTTTACCAGGAAGCCTCTGTGGCTGGTAATGCATTTATGTCACTTAGGCCCTTGAACACGTCCAAAATGCTTCTTCTTTAAGCGTGTAAGCCTGTTCTAAGGCTGAAGCGATAGAATGGCAAGACATTTGCTTGAGACCTTAGGGGTTAAGGGAAGTGAAAACCAGAGGCACTGGCCACTTCCTCATCAGGGGGTGACGCTTTGACGGTTTTCCGCTATGACCTTCGCGGGAAGTGTAGTCCAAGAGGGCGGTAGTGTGGAGGGCCCACACGCACTCCCTTTGCATTCTGGGATGGGTAGTCCAAAGCTCCGTGTAGGTTCTCATAAAGTGAAGTCGCTCAGTCGCGTCCGACTCTTTGCGACTCCATGGACTGTAGCCCACCAGGCTTCTCCATCCATGGGGTTTTCCAGTCAAGAATACTGGAATGTGTTGCCATTTCCTTCTCCAGTAGGCTCGCATACTGCAGGTATAATAAAGCTGGACAGCGAATATCTCCCCGCGGAATTCTGGGAAGTGTAGTCCAGGAGCTCCGGGTACTCTCAGGCCCTTCGGCCCCAGGAGGACGACGTAGCAGCCATCTTTCGCTTGATGATGGTGTTTCAGGTCTGCTTTTCACGATCCATTCAAACGCCCCCGAAATGCGCTTGGGGCCGGCAGCTCCTGACTTTTCATTTGGAGAGAAAGAGGAGCAGCGGCTAGAAGCAGAGGTTTGACGGCCAAGAGTGATAATGTTCGTGCCCTTGGGCGGAGCGTTTGGTAGCGTCCCGGGAAGGGGCGGGCTCAGGTTGTGCTTTTTGGGATTTGAGGGTCTCCTCGGCTTTCTGCACCACTAACCTGACCTCCCACTTATGAAGCTCGCTCTTTGGCTTCATACTCTGTCACACTGGGTGAGTTGCTTAACCCTTTTGTGCCTCCGTTGCTGTTCTTTAAAAGAGAAATAAAAGTAATTCTTAATACAGTATTGGAGAAAAAAGAGATAGCAAAAGGTCAACAATTGCCTGACGCATGATTGTTATTAATCCTACTGTAATTCAGAAGCACCCGGATTCTCACAGTGAGTTTCTGTGAGCCCAGGAAGCTGAATTGTCCTGGACTCTGGACTTGTTTAGAAAAGGGAGGGTTTCTTCTAGCTGGTACAAGAAGGTGTGAAATATAGAGGATGCAAACACAATCCTGGGATTTCGCAACCTTCTTTCCTTCCCCAGCCCTGACTTCTCAAAAAGCACTACACGAAGGAAGAGGCAACAGAGACCCACGGGAGTAGAACTTGGCATTCTTCTATTTAAGATACATAAATTGTAGAACGTATGAATGAGTAATGATTGTAACAGCCTTGGTCACGTAAGTTCCATTCCAAAAGCTTTATACAGATGAACACGTTTCTATCTCACTGGCTGTGTACATCAGTACTGCTGTTTCTCTGCTTTAGAGATAAGAAGATGGAGCCAGGGAACACAATCCTGTTGGCCCATCCTCACCTGAATAGTAAGAGGGAGAGCTGTGGTTGTAACCCCAAGCAGGCTGAGTCCAACTCCTGGGTTTGCTAATCTCTTTGATGTATTCTTCTTGAGCATGGGGAACTGACTAGAATCTCTTCATGAAAGTAGGTTGGGACTTAGCTGTGGGGACCTTGAGAGCAAGGTTTAGGTTATTCTGTGAAGTTTTTTTTTTTGTTGTTGTTGTGTTTTGTGTGTGTGGTTTCTTTGGCCTCACCACACAGCTTGCTGGATCTTAGTTCCCTGACAAGGGATTGAACCAGGGCCCATGGCAGTGGAAGTACTGAGTCCTAACCAAGGACCACCAAGGGAATTCCTTATTCTGTCAATTTTAAGCTAGTTTTCTCAACTGGGTCATTTATTTTATATCAAGTAATATTTATATTATAGAAGTAACAATCATTATGGTAATGCAGATGTAAAGAAAAATTTTAATTACCCATAAGTTTCAGTTCAGTTCAGTCGCTCAGTCATGTCCGTCTCTTTGCGACCCCATGAATCACAGCATGCCAGGCCTCCCTGTCCATCACCAACTCCTGGAGTCTACTCAAACTCATGTCCATCGAGTCGGCAATGCCATCCAGCCATCTCATCCTCTGTCGTCCCCTTTTTCTCGTGCCCCCAATCCCTCCCAGCATCAGAGTCTTTTTCCAATGAGTCAACTCTTCGCATGAGGTGGCCAAAGTATTGGAGTTTCAGCTTTAGCATCAGTCCTTCCAATGAACACCCAGGACTGATCTCCTTTAGGATGGACTGGTTGGATCTCCTTGCCGACCCATAAGTTTGGGGTGTAAAGATAACAGCTGTTATTATTTTAGTGCCTTTTTGTCTGGTTACTCTTTGTTTATGTATCTGTTTAGTGGAGGCTGTTTTCTTTGAGACTGAGGTTACACTGCCTTGCTACTCAAATTGTGGTCCACAGACCAGCAGCATTGGCATCACTTGGGTAGAAAAGCCCAGCCTTGAGCCCTGTTCAAGACCTTCTGATTTAGAATTTCTACATAGGGGGCCCAGAAGTTTGCATTCCAACAAGATCCTGTAGTAACTCCCCTGCACATGAAAATATGAGAAGCTCAGGAGAGATCTTGTCTGGAAACTGGGGCTGAGGAAATTTACCCTGCTGGATGTCACAGGTAAAGCAGAGCTGTACTTAGTCCGAGGATTTTATTACCCACTAATGATTGTCAGTTGTCAGGGATCCTTGCAAAAAATCCTGTGACTTGAGCGAAAGGTAGCTAGCAAGTGTAAAATCAAAATGGAAGGGTATTAGATGTGAAGATATATCCTTTCCAGGCTTTTGGGGGTAGATTCATTGCTATTATTTAAACTAGAGTGCTGTTGCTCCTTTTTAGTTGCTAAATTGTGTCCAACTCTTTGGGACCCCATGAACTGTAGCCCACCAGGTAGCTCTGTCCATGAGATTTCCCAGGCAAGGGTACTGGAGTGGGTTGCCTTTTCCTTCTGTAGGGTATCTTCCTCACCCAGGGATCAAACCCGAGTCTCCTGCTTGGTAGTCAGATTCTTTATCACTGAGCCACCTAGAAGGCCTCATAAACTAGGCTAAAGTGTGCCTAAAGTGGGAAGATCAACTAGTAGTTATTGTACTAGATATTTTTGCCATAGTCGTCATCATTGAGCCACTACTATTAATACTATTGTTATTACTATGACTAATTCCTAGCTTCTCTTTTTAAATTTTATTTCTTAAAATATTTATTGGAGTATAGTTGATATACTGTGTTAAATGTTTTCTATAACTATTTTCATTAAAATATTAGGAAATAATATAAAAATAATTTCAAACTTAGAGAAAAGTTGCAAAAATAGTATAAGGAGTTCTCATGTACTCTTTATGTGGAGTCACCAATTATTTCTGTTTTGCTCAGTTGCTCATTTGTGACCGCCAGCCAGCAGCCACCAGAAACATACCTGTAATCAAAAAGCTCACTTTGTTTTAGCTTACTGCAGCAAGGACGCCTATGCAGCACTGGTGTCCTGGTGTGAGGCGGTGAGGTACGGCTGCTTCTGTGGTTTCAGTTTGTGTTAACTGAGTTGAGGAGAGCTTGAGGCAGTAAGGGTTTGTTTTGGATTGGATGGTGTCAAGAAGGAGATGCAATTGACTACTGAATATCATAATGATTTGTATCTAGTGGATGAGAGAAACAAAATGGGACTGGAGTCATTATTAATGAAGTGGTCTATCACTCATGTCTGCTGAGAGGACAGTTCTTTGTTGTTTTGTTTTGTTTAATATTATTTACTAGTGACTGCATCAGGTCTTAGTTGCAGCAAGTAGGCTTCGTGGCTCCACAGAATGTGGGATCTTAGTTCCCTGACCAGGGGTCCAACCCGCATTCCCTAAATTGGACGGTGACTTCTCAAGCCCTGGACTACCAGGGAGGTCCCAGTTCTTTGGTTA